AGATGTTCCTCTATTCAAAATGCTCACCATCGGCTTCTTTTTGCGTTCTCTGAGAACGTTCGATACAGCAATAAGTTGGATTCCGTATCTCATCGAAGTTTCACCGACGATCATCTTTAGGAGATTGATGGCTGCCGCTTCCATTCTTTAGTATAAGAGAACATTTCAAACGGAGATTTCATAGAGAGAACAACACACCTGACTCCTTCCTCATCGGCACGCAAGCTCAAGATGCGAGCTATCTCATCACTTGTGTATGGCTTCGTTGAGATACCGATAAGACGGTCGACAATATCAGGAGGCAGGCAATAGTTGGCCACAACATCAGTTCCTCGTACAAGTCCTTTCTCTCTAAAAATTTTGAGATTCTGGTGTCATACTATTGTGTTCCTCGTAAAACCCCTTCTTTAGTTAGATTGAAGAGATCGAGTGGCATAAAAGCATATCTTACTTGTTTGTCGCCATAATGAGTAGAGGACTGAGATCCGATTCCATTGCCCGGTTTAAGAAAGAAAAACACTCGAGATCTAATAGATGTGCCTCATCAATAAAAAGGACTCCTGGCTGTATCGTTGCCTTTCCCTCCTCACGCCACTCAGCAACCTGCAATTGGTGTGTTTTATGGAAAAGATTCTGAGAAAAATCAAACATAGAAGCAGGATAGATGAAGAGCCGACCTTTTTGTTAATCTGTTCACGAACTTCACTTTTGATTTCTCCGGTATCTCCCGTGAATAGTGCAAGAAAGCCCTGACTGCGAGAGTTTATCACGTCGATGTCGTGTAAGCAAACAGTGTGCACAGTTTCTCTGCAGACGGTTTTGTAGAACTTCCAAATTAGAGTAACGGCATATATTAGATGTACCTTGTCTTTTGGATTTCACCGCTAGGACAAGGTACAAACTTCGTCTGTGGACCCATAGCATCATAATCGTGGGAGCGTGTTGCGGATCGGCCAACGCGAGATATGCGACCTTATCAATTATCAGATAGATCGATTGCTGCTTTAGGGTAGTGCAAAATTTGCAATTGAAACACCGGCTTCGAAAAAACGCTCTAAAAACTATGCATCTAAGCTTCCTCCCCTTACTTTGCTGAACGGAGTCCAGAAAAGCAGCGCTTGAAATGGACGCGAAGTAATCCAGACATCAAAATGAAAAGTGAACTACAACTTTTATGAGCAATAATGTAA